ACATTCCAAGTACTCAGAAGGTGCTGGAATTAGCGCACGACTGTGCTCTGTGATCTTGTCTCTATCATGAGAATCTTACGAATGGTCAACGATGGATATGATGCTGCTTTGTGCTGATTGATATTGTGTCCGATGAATACAGCTTCTTTGCCGACATTGCGTTGTCACCTCAGGTTCTCATTAATTGCCACGCGGCGGCACTTGTAATGTTGCAATTGTGATTTGTATGATATGCACATACCATGGTATCCCTGACCAAACGTGCTAAACCCGAACAAATTTTGTCTCCCGATTATGGCTCTATAGTGGAGTTGACGATATGAAGACGTAGATCTGCACGATGAGTGTGGTGTGGCACGCCATTGAAGAGTTTGAGGGACATGCAGGCGTCAACTTTCCGAGCCCGTCAGTTTCCCTCGATCCATCACGAAATTGTGGCGGCAAGTTAGAGCTATAGCAGGAAATGAACACGAATATTGTGAGTAGCAAACTTTTTACTTCATCCTTTTTACAGCTGTGATTTGGTAGGGTACATGTCTGGGATCAGACAAAACACAGGGACGTACTGGGGTGGGAATGGTTGATTGGCAATACACCTCAGCAACCTCGGTATCATACAGGAATGCAATTGGAGTGTGCCGCTGCCGGGCTGCTTCAAGCCTACAGACTTTGTCGTTTTGTTGAGATAAGGACATGAAAAGGCCGGCCGCGCGATAGCGGAAATTATCTTTTCGTAGAGACGTGCATACAAAATAGCGCAACCCCGCAAGTAATCTGCGCGTTCATGTTGGTAAATTTTTTCCAGGTTAAAGTCGTTTTTTGATATTTTCGGGTTTAACAATGCGAGCAATTCCGAAACGACGAGTTGAATCACTTTTTGCTAACATGGTGGTAATCGATGCAAGGGAGCGATCAGTCGCTTGTTTCCAGATGTACTTAATCGACTTTTGCAGCTATTATTGTGTTTTATTGCTCACTTTGTTCTGTTTATCAAGTGCAAAATTGAGTTTCTTAGTGACCCTATAATTGTGTGAGCATGAGACGTATGCAAACAGTTATTGTACAATCACCATCACCCTTGTCTAACGTGTTTAGTCACTTCTATTCCTGCTGCTGCAACAGTGTACGACAGGTTGTTTGCGTGTTGCACAATGTGTTTGGCTTTACTAAATAAGTTTGTATAGTGTGTGTAGACAGCGCGGCATTTTTTTCATCTGCTTCGTCATTAACACAACATGGAAAGGTCTCATATTGATTGTGCTTCTACTTCTCAGGGTAACTCTGCGGGATGGCCACGTGAGTATTGCCCGTTGCAGAGACTATGGTGACCCATTGCAGTTGCAATTCTGAAGACTCAATTTATCGGTACTTCACTGCACGCAGGCCCAAAGAGTTGGTCACCGTGTGTTTCTTCACCGACATCGCGCGTATCTACCAGCCTCCGCAGTCTGCTCGAACTATCGACGCTTGGAGATTTCGATTGCCATGCTCGTAATGCCTGAGAGTTGTACAGCAGCTCAGTTTGAATCAGCCGTTCCTACATAAAGAAATTGATAGGAGTCAGCTCAAGTCCTAGGGCCAAAGTGTCATTGACACAAAAAGCTGTGGATAGAAGTAACAGCTGTTGTAGGTCTGTTTCGGCTATTGCTGTCCTACAACGCAGGCTTGACAAAAGATGTGGCTTCTCTCTGTATTGTTGGGGCTATGAACTCCCTAGCATGTTTGCCGTAAGTTTGATCGCTTCATGTTACTTCCATTCACGCCGAAGTTGCCGGTGCTGTGGCAAACTTGATGTGCATGCCAAAAGTAGGCAAAATACCAGCAAAGCATGAATATAAATAACACTTTTAATTTAACCGCGCAACGTACCGCTTGACTTTCTTTTTTGGATGAGATATCTTTCGATCAATCCAAAGTCGATAGGTAAAGTAATCTAACCGATAATCCGTAGATGAGTGTTTCGTGATTCGTGTATAACTTTAATGCTACCACATTAGTGTGCGCACCAACCAAAAAAGGACCGCCAAAATGATCAGTTTGCAGTGATGGCAAATCAAATTTACACAAGACAAAATGAGAGGAAATGTACAAAAGTTAGATTTTGTTTTAGATGTTAGTAGAAATGCAGCCTACCTACCGCCAACGCCCTACGCTCCTCAATAATTCTCTACACGCTCGTCAAGCTTAAGGCGCTAATGGCTCTATGTGATCCGTCAATTGAGGTGGCGGAGGTTCGAAGATTTTAGCAACAGAACCCCTAACTTGAGGTAATTGAGGTCCTAAGTATTCAGCGTAGGATCCATCAGTTTCCGTTCATCACACCCAAGGTACAAAAGTAGGTGATGTGACCGTATCCTAAAGTACGGTCGGTCACATCGTGGCAGAGAGCCATGCATGTTTGCAT